GTCCAGGTCCCTCTGCAGAGCCTTCCTGCTCTCAAGCAGATCGACACTCCCACCCAATTGGTGTCATCTGCAAACTTACTGAGGGTGCACTCGATCCCCTTGTCCAGATCACTAATAAAGATACTAACCAGAACTGGCCCCAGTACTGAGCCCTGGGGAACACTGCTTGTGACCGGCCACCAACTGGATTTAACACCATTCACCACAACTCTCTGGGCTCGGCCATCCAGCCAGTTTTTTACCCAGCGAAGAGCACACCTGTCCAAGCCATGAGCTGCCAGTTTCTCCAGGAGAATGCTGTGGGAAACGGTGTCAAAGGATTTACTAAAGTCCAGGTAAACAACATCCACAGCCTCTCCCTCGTGCACTAAGCAGGTCTCCTTGTCATAGAAGGAGATCAGGTTAGTCAAGCTTTCATAAACCTGTGCTGACTGGGCCTGATCACGTTACTGTCCTGTACGTGCTTTGTGATGGCACTCAAGATGATCTGCTCCATAACCTTCCCAGGCACCGAGGTCAGACTGGCAGGCTTCTGTCAAAGAGAATAACGTATATAGGAAACACAATTTACATTGTTCTTGTAGTGTAGTAATTAACATATTGATGGGGAATATTTGTAACATTCTTTATCCTATTTAACATTTACTCCTTAGCATAGAAATGTGAATTTAGACATTTTTACTCTCAAATTTCTTTATAGTACCAGTCTATCAATCACTTGACATTTTCTGATTTCTAGTAATTATTTTTTTTAAAGTATGATTTTATTTTCTAAATAGTGTAATTTTTTTTCTAAATTCCTACAGGGTTACTTGGTGAACTGGGATGTCCAGAGACAGGTTTGGGATTATCTTTTTGGAAAAGAAATGTATCAAGTAAGAGCCTTTTTGTAATTACAGATTTTGTGTATGTTTAATACTGACTAATGGAATTAACATAAGTACATCAAATATTAAATAGAACTGGCGAGCTTACTGTTCTCTTTGAAAGTGCCTTAAATTAGAAATCACAGGGATTTATCTTTTTGCAAACTGAAAAAATTTTTTACTTTGAGCTCTGGGGTAGGAATTTAAAAAACATTTAAATTTTTTAGTCTTGTGTGTATTCATACTGAGTTCAGTTCACATATGTTAAGAAATTCACATCAATATAATTAAGAGTTCAATTTAGTAAAAAATAATAATAATTATAGACAGATACAATGTGGTTTAGAGATCAAGAAACTGTTGATGTAAAAGAGAGTGATAAGCTAGGTCAGCAGGCCAAAAGACATACACATTAAGTAACCATCTTTGGCTAACCACTTTCTACCTTTGAGTAAGTTGAATGTATAAAATATAAATATCTGATACTTAATTTTTCTTATTTATCACACGAACTGGATTTAGTGCAAGAAGTGTAGTAAGGCTTCCCTTTTATTTTTTCTTTTTAAAAAATGTTATATACTCTGAAAATTTTTGGGCTTTGTAACACCTAGGAGGCAGAATGGTACTGAGAATGAAAATAATGCCTCAAAATATCTTAGTCTCCATACATAAAAATACACAGTGCTGGCTTTTGATACTTAGCTTTCATTTTAGTTTTGGAACTAGATTCAATTTAGTCGTGGTTTCGAGGAGAATTTAATTCTTTTTCATGAGTGAAGACTACAGAGAGATACAGCTGGTAATACGTTTAGGGCCATGTGTCCAATTGTGATTGAAATAACCCTCTGAAGTCTCTCTAAAGGAGTTTGAGATATCAGTAAATGCGGAAAGTCCAGGATCTTTTGTGGCCTCACTAGAGGTAACTGGGAGTTTTATTACTGATTCTACTTTGTGCAGAACTTCATCTTTGGTTGTTAGATAAGTATTTTTGTGATGCAAGTGCTGAGCTGTTGAAGAGGCTTATCTTTCTGTAGTTGACAGGATTAACATAAAGTTATCTTACATTAGTATTGTAGTGTTCCTTTATGGGCATCTCTTTAACATGTTGGATTACAATTTGTAAGGATGGTAGCAGGACCAGAATATGTATGAAGGTGTTCCCTTCTATTATGTTTTTACTCATTAATTTGATAAAGTTATATTACTGCTCATGAAGTCTTTAAAAAAACCTAAAGCTTTCTAAGCCTAGCTTCTACAAACAGATACAGCAAGTGGTAATCATGTCTTCAAATTTACATGATCTTCAACTGCTGCAAAATATGGTAATGGAGTATTAATTTCTAACTTCTATGTAATGACAATCTTAATGTATTTTTCATAGGTGGATTTTGTAGATACCAATATTATTATTACCGAACCTTATTTTAACTTCAGTTCAATACAAGAATCCATGAATGAAATTCTATTTGAAGAATATCAATTTCAAGCAGTTCTTAGAGTAAATGGTGAGTCTGTCGTCTTCTAGTTTGCATTTATATATTTTGAAGGTTAACCTTGTAAATAAATAAATAAATAAGCATGCATGCATGCATATGCACATACATGTATATATAAAGACAGTAAAGAAATTACATCATTTCCTTCCTCGCTCTTGAGTAATATGCTCCTATATGTACTCTAACTGCATTAAACTTTTTTTTTTATTATTTTTAGAAATTCCAGCTATACTTTTATACTACTCTTAAGAGTGTCATGGTATATAATTAAAGGAAATTTGAGGAGAGTCAGGATGACAGAGAGAATGGATGGATTTTGAAATAGGATAGCATTTGAGAAAGTCTACCAAAAATTTGCATGAAGTTTTTGATAGCTTTCCTTTTTTTTGAGGTGGTGGGGTGGTGGTTTTTGTTTGGTTTGGTTTTGTATTAACAAACAAAATGCATCCTTACAATCATGAAATGTATTGTATCTTAGAGGGAATCACAACCCTTCTGCAAGATAGCTGGACATAGCATACTCCTTTAGATAGGTTTGAGAAATTCTGGTGTGATCAGTCTCCTTGGACTTTAGGAGAGGAAACTGAACATGGACTGGAATTATTGAAAAAGAATAAATGGGGGCATATACAATACTTAATTTTATCCACTGTCAAAATTAATTCATGTGTTGTCTGTAGTATTATGTATTGAGGTCTTGGAAGTCTGTCAAAGGCATTTAAAATATGAAGCAAGTACACTTTCATATCTATGTAAATTCTAAAAGTGTATATTAATGTAAAAATTGAATGAAATGTTCTGTATTTCAGCTGGAGCTCTTAGTGCACACAGGTATTTCCGGGATAATCCATCTGAGCTATGTTGTATCATTGTGGACAGTGGATACTCTTTTACACACATTGTACCTTATTGTAGAAGTAAAAAGAAGAAAGAGGCAATCATCAGGTAAACTGCAGTATATATTTTCTGTAAGAATTGTTTGCTATGCCTAAAGTTAATAGTGACAGAATTCCTTGTGTTACTCCTTTTCTGTAGGATTAATGTTGGAGGAAAACTGTTAACCAACCATCTGAAGGAGATAATCTCTTACAGGTAAAGCGTGCTGATCATCGTCTTGAGACCTGGTATGAAATGAACTAGAAGTCTGAGGGATATTTTTACTGGTTCTGTGAATTATAGACTAAATGCTCTGTAAAGCTAGCTGCTATCTTGAGCTTAAGGTCAAGATGAATTAAGATGAGCTTAAGCTCTTTGAAGAATTAGGCTGTTAGTTTTTAAAGTGCCAGCACTTTTGAAGTTGCTGAGGTTACCTGTGTGTTCACAATTATACAAGTCCTTACATATTTTCTGAGATGTCTCAGTAGATGATCAGTCAGTTTGCTAACTGATTCTATCAATACCAAATAAAATTTAATAGGATCAACTTTTCATTAGGATCCTTTAGCTTGGAACTTTATCTAGGTAAAGGTCTTTGCTAGTAGAGCTAATTGCAGGGTTATGACTATACTTTTTATGAAGACATTGGGCAAATGCAGGTAGATGTTTGTATTTATTGAACTGTGAAATAGGAAAATAAACTCCAGTAGGCCAGGAATGCTTCTGTAAATTGAATACAAGTTTTAGGTATCGAGACAGTAGCTTTCTGTGATTTGAAAACTATGGTTGCTCATCTCCAGTAGAAAACTGGACAGGTAATGCTAAGACTTAATTATTCTCAAAAATTCTGTGGTTTTGGTTTTTTGTTTTTCACAGGCAGCTACACGTTATGGATGAAACGCATGTAATTAATCAAGTGAAAGAAGATGTGTGTTATGTTTCTCAAGATTTTTACAAGGACATGGACATTGCCAAGTATGTATACAATGGTATTAAATGTAAAAGTTGGCACTTCTGAATAATCTATTTGTACAAAAAAATAAAACTATACTCTTAATCGGAAAATTTTCCAGTTAAGTCAAAGGGAGTCTTGTCAGTATAAAATAGTTGGGATTTAGAACTTGTTGTTTATTCTGTTGTATTTTACATTCTTCTCTTTCAGATTGAAAGGAGAGGAAAATACTGTAATGGTAGATTATGTTTTGCCAGACTTCAGCACAATAAAAAAAGGATTTTGTAAGGTAATGGTAGGTTTTTGAAGTATTTTTTGTACTGTTCCCCTGCACAAGTCTAGTAGGTTAAGAAGACTTTTGTTTTTCTAATGCTGTATTGTAACTTCTTTCTGTGCTATGCATTGATTGGGAAAGTTTTCCGTAGAAAGTTGAGATGAAAATACTATTTTTCCAGCATAGCATTTTATGTTCTATTATTTAATACTTGTAGCTTTCTATGCTCTGTCATACAACCTGTCCACATCATTATTGTTGGGTTTTTTTTAAAGTTGAGTCGGAAAATGTTTTCTCTGCTTTGATACTTTTTTGTAAGTCTCTCTGAATTTCATTTAAATACCCTAATAAGTAGAAGGTTCAAAGTCATGTTATAGAAGAGCCTGAAAAGTCTTCATACCAATGAAGACAATTTAACAATTTTATTGTATTTACTGAGTTGGCCATAGTTTTGAAAGCAGTCCCAATATTTTAAGGCCACTCTCGTGCATACCTATTTTATTTTGCTTTAGGCAAAACTGCAGTTGATAAGAACAAAGTCACTTCAGATTTAATACCAGAGTATGTATTATTCTTAAAAGATATGTTGATAATATGACTGTAGAATATACTGCCTACTCTGCCGTACATGAAAAAGATTAGCGAATACTCTAGGATGTAATTTCTTTTCTTAAGCAGTGGCTACTATTCATGTCTTTAATTTAGCCAAGGGAAGAGATGGTGTTAAGTGGAAAATACAAGACTGGTGAACAAATACTTCGTCTAACAAATGAAAGATTTGCAGTTCCAGAAATACTCTTCCATCCTTCGGATATTGGTATTCAAGAGATGGGAATTCCTGAGGCCATTGTTTATTCTATTCAGAATTTACCTGAAGGTATAACCTAAAGGTATTTTGAAAAGTGTGAGGGGCTGGGGGTGTTGTTTTGGTTTGGTTTGGGGTTTTTTGTTGTTTTTGTTTTGGGAGGGTTTTTGTTTTGCTTTGTTTTGGTTTTAAGCATACAAAGTGTCTTAAGAAGCTAGTACTCTCAATATGCCAGTTACTAAGTTGTTGTGAACTGTTCTGTCTTCTGCTGTGTGTCATATACTCTAGAACTGATAGTCTACAAGATTCTCTGTTAGGCAAACACGGTTTTGTGGTGATTCATTGATTGGTTTCTACTCTTGTTTCAGTTAATCGCTGTAGACTTAATTCTTCTTAACATCCTTTTCTAACGTGACCTATCTGTCTTTGACGCCGATGATGGAATATACTTGGAATTAGGTTTAGTTCTGTTTTAAAATACCTTTCTTTACTGGAAGAAGAGAAGAATCAAACTGATGAGAAAAATGAAACTGACCAAACTCAGTAATTTAAGCATCAAATTATAAAACCTTTCTGATTGCTGTGTTTGTCAGAAGTAATACTAAAGCTTTCATTTTATAGATTATGTACATGTAATTAATGTTATTACTACAAAGAAGATTTTCATAGGTTTTATGATACCACATAAGTATGGCGGCATTGAGGCTATTATTTTGTACTCTTAAAAAAATTTTATCATTTAAAATCCCTTTTGAAATGGGAATTGTGTTGGCAGACATAAATTTAATAGACAATATAAGAAAACAGTAGTTATCAAAGCCAAATTCTAAAAATCATGAAGAACTGAGGGTGACTGATCACTTCCTTGTATTTCTCAATAAAACTATTTAACTGATGTGATGATTAGATGATAATAAAATTCTTCCATGCATATGTCTTACTTCTGTTCCAATTCATAACAAAATTGGGAAAAAAAACTTCAGTCTTTAAACATATATTCAGTCTCTAACTACAGATTTACTTATTTATTTTACAGAAATGCAGCCTCATTTCTTCAAGAACATAGTTCTGACTGGGGGAAACACCCTTTTTCCGGGCTTCAGAGATCGAGTTTATTCTGAAGTTCGATGTCTTACTCCAACTGATTATGATGTTTCCGTTGTTCTTCCTGAAAAGTAAGTTCTAAACTGTACAGAACAAGCTTTGTCCTTCTAGCAGAACAAACTATAAAGTAGGATTTCTTTTGCTGATTAAAAAGATAGATTGAGTAAAGGGGTTAATTTAAATATTAAGTGAAACAAAATTGTACAAGAAGAATGTTTTAAATCAGTATATTTTCAGACAAACCAAATAAATTAGAGACCACCTGCTTGCCCTGTACTTTGGTTAATAAAGTTAAGCATATAAGTAAGTGTTTTCAGGATCAGTCTTTTTATTGTAAACAGATAAATAAGACTGTATTGTCATTAAATGGATACATAAGTATGCAAGATTAGAGTTTAGTCTTTTACTTAGAAGAGTTTTCAGCATCTGAATGCTGCCATGTCATTATTGATGTAGCCACTTCAGGGATTTGGAAGGGTATCATCTTTGCAGAGAGAGAATATACAGTTGAGGCAAAACAAATATATCTTGAAAGTACAAAAAAATCTTCACTTTTTTTAAAGTATTATTAAAGAGTATTTTAAAATATTATTAAAGAATCATTATCTGTGCAAAGTAAATACAAAGACATCTCCACTTCCTGCCCTCTTCGCACCTGCCTCCAAAGAGGCACTTGCTTTTTTAAAAAGCAAAGTGAGTTAGCCCTGCTGAAATTTCAGACTTTGTCTCATAACTTGTCTGGAGCTGGATGGTTTGATTTAGCAATCAAAAATATATTTTTAAATAGACATGGCTAAATAAAAGTCTTGGAATCATCATTGCATACTTCTATTTTAAATGATCTTACAGATGAGTAACAATAAGTTTGTTCATTTTTCAGCCCTATTACTTATTCTTGGGAAGGTGGGAAGCTCATTTCTGAAAATGATGATTTTGAAGATATGGTAGTAACTAGAGAAGATTATGAAGAACATGGACACAATATCTGTGAAGAGAAATTTGATATATAGGTTACATAGTTGGATATATTGTTATTCCATTGTTTTACTCAGAATGGAACTCTGATCTACAACCTGTTTTCTGTCAGTTAGGATTGTGTTTTAGCTTTCCTGTATTTAAGTGGGTTGGGAAAAAGTCATTTTCAGAGTTTAAAAATAAAGTTTTACAAGCCTAATACTATGAAATAATATGTTCATTGTCATTTCATTATGTTCTCATCTTTTACTGATAGCTTTATTGTATTCTTACTGCAGAAAACCTCAATGCATGAGGCAATAAAACTATTGAATGCTTGTACTGGCGTGACACTAACACGTAGTGAGAAGAAATCAAGATTTTTTTTTTTTTTTTTTCCCCAAAATTAGTATTATTCTAACTCATACATGCAATTGAATGGACATTAAACACATCTCAAAAGGTCTCTTTGAGATTGCCTATCCTGAAAAGTAATATGCGACTTTTATTTTTGGTTATTTTAGTGAATAGCCATGAGAAGAATATACTTGAAATGTGACCACTGCTATCGAAAGTATACTTAGGCTTTGAGAAAAGAGTAATTTCAACAATTCCTTTTTAAAAATGGGTTTGGGGTTAGTAGGTTGTGGGTTTTTTTGTTTGGTTTTAAACAATGGCTGAGCAAAGCTTCCTGCCACTCCCCTTGCCTTTCTGAAAAGGTGACATCAGAAGCTGAGGTGAATGAAGCTTGCAGCTGTGTCCTGGGTAATCCCATGTGTGTCCTATCCATGTGTTCTAGAGAAATACAAATGCCCCAGCCTGTACTTGTTATTTCTGTTTACAGAGCAAAGGTGGCATCAGAAGCTCTGTTATTGTGCCATCAGTCTGTGCAGCATTGCATGCAGGGGGGGGAAGAGCACAGTACGGGCTAACAGCCAGGTAGGAGCCTCGGAGGGCTGCGCTAGCAGGGGGTGCCCCACCTGGCCAGCCTGGCTGCCAGGACAGCGGCCGGCACTCGCACAGGGAGGGTAATGGACACACAGGTGCCAGCACTGATCTTGACCTGATGCAGCTCGTGGCCAGAGGGGAATTGCCCTTTTAGTAGGGCTGGTGATATTCGGTGGTCTCAGATTTGCAGAGAAGTATCCTATTCTCAGCTGAAGTCTCATATTCCCTCTCGTCTGCCCTGTGTAAATCCAGTAAGTATACTTGCGCAGTACACTTACCCAGCTTGGAACAGAGAGCGCTGACTGACTTAGGCAGTTGATGGCAGGGATCAAGCAGAGGCTTCACTGGATTTCATGCCCCTCCAGTGATCCTTGACGAGGTCCCAGGAGGGGCACTGAAGCACAACTAGATACTATTACCTTTTGAAAAATTGTTCTTTGTGACGATCTGTGACCGAAGGGTAATTGGTGTAGTTGAATGGTCAGAGCTGTGAACAGGGGAAACAAAGGTGTATATCATCAGCCCCTGGGCTCACTGATAGCACTAAGATACAGAGATATCCTCATCTCTGGCTTCCATTTCTTTCTACTTCAGCTAAGCACATGGAGTTATAGCCACGTTGTTCTGATCAACATTCCAGATTCTCATGAGCTGCTCCTGTTGCTACCCAGAGGTCTCAGCATAAGGGCAATATAGAAGAGAAGCCAACGCTCCAAAGAATGGGAGATCTTGATGATGAGCTGCCCCAATTAAATAGTTCTTCAAGATGATCTTTCTTCTTAAATATGATCTTTTTTTACTTCAGACTGCCAGCTCGTGGTGGCTTTCCTCCAGTCTAGCCTGCTGAAAGGAATGGAAGAGTTACCCTCCTCCTCCTGTTAATAGCTACATGAATGACACAGGAGGCAGCTAGGGTATTAATGCATGAGAACACCACCTACAAATTCTTGGATACAGCTGTTGTATTACTCTGTCTAAGAAAATACAGGAAATGAATAAGTCTGTGTTGTGTTTTACCCCCAGCCGGCAACTAAGCACCACACAGCCGCTCGCTCACTCCCCCCCGGTGGGATGGGGGAGAGAATCAGAAGAGTAAAAGTGAGAAAACTTGTGGGTTGAGATAAAGACAGTTTAATAGGTAAAGCAAAAGCCACGCACGCAAGCAAAACAAAGCAAGGAATTCACTCACTACTTTCCATGGGCAGGCAGGTGTTCAGCCATCTCCAGGAAAGCAGGGCTCCATCACACATAACGGTGACTTGGGAAGACAAACGCCATCACTCCGAATGTCCCCCCCTTCCTTCTTCTTCCCCCAGCTTTATATGCTGAGCATGATGTCATATGGTATGGAATATCCCTTTCGTCAGTTGGGGTCAGCTGTCCCAGCCGTGTCCCCTCCCAACTTCTTGTGCACCCCCAGCCTGCTCGCTGGTGGGGTGGTGTGAGAAGCAGAAAAGGCCTTGACTCTGTGTAAGCACTGCTCAGCAGTAGCGAAAACATCCCTGTGTTACAAACACAGTTTTCAGTACAAATCCAAAACATAGCCCCATACTAGCTACTATGAAGAAAAATAACTCTACCCCAGCCTAGTACACTATTATTATTTTGATAGCCACATGTAGAGGCCTTTGTGTCCGACCTCTAGTTTTTTAAATAACTGCTTCATATAATTATCAGCATGCTTTAACTGGGACTTAAAATAAGAAAATATGCACATTGTTCCCATAAAAACAACAATGAACCTTTTCCTCGGTACGCGCAAACATGAATGCTCTATGAATAGAAGTAAGCCTCCTTACTTTGAAGGTGGCATCACTTGTTCTTTGATAAGACTGCACTGGAAAGTACCTCTAGACTAAACTCTTCACTCTGGAAATGTTATACTTCAAATACAAATTCATACTGGCAATTAATTTGATAGCTCTATGCTAGAAATCATAAATAGAAATGAGTGAGAGGTCCAAGTTTCCCTACCAGATGATTCTGTGTCAAATATTGTTAAAAATAAGTGACAGAACTTTCTAAAGTCCAATAAAGTTTTCCTAATTTTGTAATGTAACTGAAAGTGTAACAATGAAATACAGTAACCTGTAGTTCACCACATTTGTTCTGTTCAACAGGCCCTTATATTTAAATGTAAAATACCACGTTTCTTTCAAGAGAAGATTAAAATTAGTAGATCCTCCTGTCAGAGTAGGTGAATAAAATAGGGCTCTCATGAGCTCTTCCTTTCCTTTGCAGAACTAGATCAATCTTGACTTCTTGTCCCATGAACTGAAGGAAAGCACCTGGCAGCTATGAACGCCTGCTGTCCACTTGAAGCATTTCCTTACCGTTTGATACCTGGGCCTACACCCACTGAGCTGCCTCTTCCTTATGAAAGCACTATGAAATGATAAGACTGATTCATCACTTTTTAAGCAATGCTTTATTACCATCTTTAAATTAGCACAAGAAAATTCTAATCAAGTCACAAAGTGCAAGAATTTGTTTTTTGAAAATACAGTTTTTCCCAAAGCAATTCCCAGTCCATCTAGCCTACAAATTACCATGTTATCACCCCTCCCTGTTACCAGGTTCACCATTTTGAGTGAGACCCAGTAAAGGGACTGAAGAGAGAGAGAAAAAAAGCAAACTAAAATCCCCTTCTCCCACTACTCAACACCAGTATTTCCCTTTACTCTCAATAACCTACTCCTGTACATGCTCCCTTTTCTGGGAGAATGACCAAAACCCCCATATAGGGCTAGAAAAAGAATACATGGCCCTGAAGTCTAATAATTAGGGCATTCACCTCTGAAAGGTGAAACTCGGTCCTCCTCCAGAAATTATTTATTTTTACACTGGACAGTCACTGTTAAATAACAAGTGCATAAACAGGACACATAGACAGAGATTTCAACTACATCCCCCGACTTCTAATAGGGCCAGGTCATTTAAATAAGGCTACTTGAAATATGCAAGTTAACGCAACCTATTACCTGGTTGGTTATATTTAACAGTGTAACCATTTCAATTTATAAAAGAAAAGAAAACAGCACTTGTTTTCAGAAAGCTTTGCTATCCTGGTAACTTGACCACACATTTGAAGAACAGTTGAGGATGTACATACCTGAAGAAACATATTCACAACAAAAAATCATGGTCATAGCAAAGGGGCCATGAAAATGATATGGGATTGGAGCATCTGTCATACAAGGAAGAGGCTGAGAGAGCTGCGATTGTTTAGCCTTGAGAAGAGAAGGCCCAGGGGAGGCAGTAAAGACGACTGAGCCAGCCACTTCAAGAAACACCGACTGACCCAGCCACTTCTCAGTGGTGCCCAGTGAAAGGACAGGAGGCAATGGGCACAAACTGAAATGTAATAAATTCTACCTAAACGTAAGGTGGTTTGGTTTTGGTTTGTTTGTTGTTTTGTTTTTTTTTTTTTTTTTAAAATACCGTGAGGCTAGTCAAACTCTGGACCAGACTCACCTGAGAGGTTGCGGCATCCTATCCTTGGAGATATTCTAAACTCGACTGGAAAAGGCCCTGAGCAGCCTGCACTAACTGACTCCACATTTAGCGGGGTGGTGGGACTAGACCAGAGGTCCTATCCAATCTCATTTCTATATTTCTGTGTCCAATACACGATCAATGTCTGTCATGAGGTTGGAGAAAGTAATTTAACCCCTATAACATTATATTGCATTTTTGTTTAATGATTTGAATCAACATTTCCTTGTCAACGTACAGCTAACCCTCAATGTGTCAAGACAGGCCAACGTGATTTTTAGCTTTGCCCTATGAATCCAAAACCGCTATCAAAGTATTTATGACAAATAACTGAACACTATCAAAGTATCCTCATGTTAAAATAAATTGCTTAAGTACTCCAAGAGATTTAAAACAAGAGTATTATTCCTCAAGTTTTTTTTCAAAATGTAATTTTTTTACTTGCTTTTGTGTAACTGCCAGATTAGCAGCAGCTC